GTCTCCTCAATAGTTTTATACAATTTTTATAGGCGTGGCATTCGATTTTACCCTATTTTCAAAAATAAAATGATAATTCTTTCCATACAATAACTTATGCAAGTGCTTTGCTTGAAATATAATATATAATCTTTTTTATATAAATGTATCAAAAATATGCATTCATTTTCTAATAAATTCTAGAAGCCTCCTGTCTAATCGACGAACCGGTTCCACGCTCAGTAGTATTGTATGATATTATAACGACTAAACTCGAATTTCGATATGAAACGGTTGTGTTGCGAAGCAAGCAATAGGCACTGTAACAATACAAAATTATTCATAGAAAACAGTGAAAGTAAAATGGTATGAAATAAATGAATATGCTCGCAAACTTCGTACCTTTTATAAAAGCGATTATATAACGTATGGTAAGAAGTACGTATTTGTGTTAATAATCAATTAATCAATTTTCTATTTTAATTTTAACTAAAGTTTTCAATTCTAATTTTTCTGATTTTTTCTTTTTTGTTTCTTTTTTTCAACTTTCTTGGATAATATTTGCTTTTTAGTTATGGTTGTAAAGGTCTTTAACTTTGCGTGGTTTGGCACTATTTTTTAGTCTTTTACTTCCATAAATGAGATATGAAATATTTATTCAAGTCGAAAAAAAATGTGCAAACAAATGCTTCGGAACTTTGGATGTAGAGACCTATTAGTCAAAAAAAATAAAAATAATAATAAAAAAACAAATATATATATATATATATATATATATATATATATATATACCGATGCCAAATGTTAAATTAATAAGGAAGAGTTGCAACAAATGCCTTTCAGTTTTTATCTGTATGCTTCCTTTAACTCGCAAGTAGACTACATATGCTGGCTTTACTTTGCGTGTTGTAAATTAGAAAACAAAAGACCCACGAATATATTACTACATAGGAACACACATTAATAGCTAGGTTAGAAGACAATTTCAAATGTAAATAAAATTTTCAAAAATTCTTGTAAATCCACGCTTATCTATTTGCAAGTCATTTAAACGATCATCGATGATGGCAACGTGCGCTGTGATGCCGCCACAGATGCGTACACAAAGGACGGCTATCATAGATTTTTTGACAACGTCTTATGTGATTATGCGTTTCCCATGTGACAAATTTAATTGTCTTCTTTGATCAATTTATTTCACTTTATTTTTTCACACATAAAAATCGGTAGAGCTGAATGACTTACCAGAACTTAGTTATCGTTCGATGTAATTCCTTAGATTTGAAAGACGCATCAAATAAAATAACAAATTGTATAAAACATTTGTATTTATTAACTTGAAAGTTATAAACCAAAATTATACTTAAAAATTATGTTTGAATAAATTCTCACTTTCTTTTATTCTTGTATTTTTCCAATTATTCTTTTTTTTTTTTTTTGTATGGCATAGTAGTACTTTACTAACGAACTGGCGGCAAATAACGGCAACTACGACAGACACGGGTCAAAATGACGTTGCGCTTCTTGAACTTATCAAAGTATGGAATAATATGCATCCGAGCTAAGTAGTATATAACCAGGATCTCTCATTTGATCTAGTCACAGTCTAAGTTTAATTTTAAATTAATTATTAATTAATTAAGATAAATATAAAATTTAATGGGGCGGATTTTATTTTTTATGGGGTTTTTATCAAATATTGAACAGTGAAATATGAGCATAAACTAAAATTTGACGTAAGTGAGCAAGTTCTTTCAAGATTCTCGTGAGGAAAATCGACACTGAAAAGAGAAACGTACTGCAACACGCACTACGAAATCTCTAAGGGTGCTATTCATACACTAATTATATATATATATCAAAAAGATATATTGCAGCTTGAGATTACATATACCGAAGAACAATATTATCAACAATTAAATTCGGCGCATGACCAACTTGATAATTTGAAAGATTAGAAATGTCCATCTTGCGAAAAAGCGTTGACCTTTGTCCATCGACTGGAACAACAGTTAAGAAGTCATATGCCGCGAGAACATAAAATGTTACCCTGTTCAAAATATTGAGCTCCTTTTCCAATATATGATTGTTTAAATACGCCTTATGGCAGGCTATTGTAAAAGTGCGATCCAGTCCACTTGCAGCCCTTGCACTAAGCCAAATCAATGAACAGAAAAATTTTTCTTAGTATGAAACTTTAGATTTTTCCGAACGACTTTACTTTCACTTTTTTTTTTTTTTTTTTTTTTTTTTTTTTTTTTTTTTTTTTTTTTTTGTATGTTGAACAGAGATGGGCTAAGCCAATATATTTGTGGCTTATATGTCCAAATAATAAATTGTTGTAATTTTTAGTCAGGATTATGTATAAAACGTAACAAACAAAAAAAAAGAGCGGCCGTAATAACTGGAGTGAGCATGTTAAATGTAATTGTGTGTGTGTGTGCAAGCGCGCTTGTTGAGTTCTTGAAAGTCAGACAGTGTTACAAACTTTGGCTGAAAACGAAAAGCAATGCTATGGTAATAGAGGATTATTAAACGCAAACACGAAAGAAAAAAAAGGAAAGAGGAAAAAAAAAAATTCTAAAAGAATAAATTAGCTTTTCTAATAAAGCAAGTTAGTTCCCCGAGATGACGTACATTTTTTGCTGCAAAGAGATCGAGGAGACATCCATATAACTTGAAGAAGCTAAAGGAATCTCTAATGCCATCAAGCCTGTGACATCTGAAGATTAGATGCTCAGCAGACTCAAAAAACATTGCAAACTTCACAAACATCACATGGTATAGCGCGAATCATTTTTAAATAAACTTTGTCATAAGTGTGACCACTCATGAGTCTATAAAGAATTTTGATTTCCCAAGAATTAAAGGAAGATACAGAGAAGGGTTTGAATTGAAATGTGGAATTTAATTTATAGAAAAGACGATTGGATTTAACGCGCGCGATTACTTTAAATTCATCGTTTAGCTGTTGAAGGATGTGGCTGCGAATTGCCCGAATTGCTTCATTGGGAGTATATTTGAAGGACAAAATTGTCCCATCAACACGAGCTCTCCCTGCATGAAAGTCGGCTTTTACATTTAAAAAAAAGCCGCAGTGGCCAGGTACCCAAACGAGGTGACACTCATCCACTTGAGATTCGTGCAACGTCTTGTGAATGTCAAACCCATATTGATTTTCTGCATCTCTTTTATTTATTAGAAGTAGAGCTGACCTGCTGTCGGAAAAAATAACAAAACGTCTGATACCATCGGAAATAGCAAAGTTCCTCTTCCACTTTGACTCGAAGTATTGTTTCAGATAGATGTTTCACGACCGAGAAGCCAGATACATTACGTCCGACGGAACCGTCAGTGGCATATATATCATATCCGTTGTTGTAATAAAAAAGGAGCTTTTCTTGGCATAACAACCTTATACAAGAGAAGTTGACATTTTGTTTTGAGGTAGAGATCGGTTCGAGAATGTTCATGAAGACTTTGCATTTGCTGGTAACGAAATTCAAGGGGGGAATTGAATCTAACTTATCAAAAATATGACGAAGTTTTTGATAGCAAAAAGCATAGCTGCAAGTGACAGTGTCAGTGAGAGATATAATTTCCTGAAAAAGGAAGGATTTATCATCTTGACTTTAATAACTCCTTGGCAGTGCAAAAAAGGGCTCTTTCGGAAACTGGCCATTCACCAGATATAGCATTGAGAATATGTTGAGGAGTACTACTTTCACTTTTAGCGCGACATTGCTACTATTCATTTTTAGGTTGCCGTTCTTTATTCTTTTTGTATTTTTCTTTTTCTCGCTTGTTACATTATTGTATTTATAGTAATTTTACTTGGGTGTATTTACATAGATACTTATGCAGGCTCATAGCCTGCTTTGTGACCGAACGGAAATGTACCGTTTTTTCCATAGTGCCCTGAAAGTAAAATATGCAAATGAAGCAATTATATTCGCCTTCGAACGAATCTCGGGCAGCCACTACCATAAACACATAGAATAGGCGTATCTACACGTATCTACATTTATCGGATTATGGTAAAGGGTTGATTTAAAGAGATTGTAGAACAGACGGTTGTACACAATTTCAAATCAATGCCGGTGCAAAGCGCATACGTAGAGGCTATGCTTGAAGGTGGAGGCAGCATTCAACATTATTGGTATGTTAAAGTCATGCAGCATGCTAACAGAAGAGGCATTTTTAGTTTTACTAACAAAGCATGCCATGAGGATGTCATCAAGAAAATGACTAGACATATTTTCAAGGCTATTAATAAATAAACAAAAATGTGTACAAAGACGAATCAGATATCACTTTAAGTGTGCTCCGAATATCAATCGCTACAGTACTGTCATTTCGTTTACGGATTAGCCTTGTAGCAGCGAAAGCTCAAATTAAAAGCTGAAATTTGACATACAAGTGGTGTAGGGTATAAACGGCTGCTTCAAGTTTCATAACCGTACCCAAATAGAGAAAAAGGTGGCTATGTTTCCTCGGTTACAAGGTTTGAAATCGCTTCCCGATAACAAACATATTTATCTTATGGATTTTTGAAACTTATTCCCAATCCACTGCTTTGCAAAGCTAGTTAATACTCAATGACAACGATAATAGCAAATAAAAAAAGCCTTAATTTAGTTACTTTTTCTAACGATTTATTTTCGAACAATAAAAGCTTAATAACAATGATAAAGCAATTAACCTTTTCAGATTTGACTGCTTATAGAATGTAAAAATTATAGTTTTAGAATGGGAGATCGACCCACAGTGGAGATTGTAGTTTTCGCAAAATTCTAAATTACAAAATTTTTTTTATTTCTTTCACGAACTGTAACGAAAGAGATTACAAAATATAAAATAGCAAGTGCTGCACTACAGCGATGAATATCTTAAAATATGATCCGTTGTGCAAACCTAAAATAGTTTTATGTTATAAAGCTTTAAAAATACACATCAAATAATAGGAAATGAAGGGCAATATCTGACAACAGCGAATTGCATAAAGAAATTAATTATTGATCTCTTGAGAACTTGCGACACAAACAAATATTATTAGTTACTTAACAACGGCTCCTGATCACTGGCGTATTCATTCGTACTACCAGCATTATCTCCATCACTTGTTAGAGTTGCAGCCCTAGGCACAAAAAAAAGCAAATAAATGGAAGAGAAAAATAAAGAATTTATGAACATAAGTTTATTCAATATAAGTACTTTTAATGTGATTTCTTTAGAATTTGACATACATTGCGTTTGCGTATTCAATTCTTTGGGCAGGTGTCATGTTGAGATTCCCTTTAGTTTTACGATCGTAAACATATATTACAGTAGTGGCGAGAAAGGCAACTAAATATTTAAAATAAGTTTTAAAGGGAATATATATTATAAGTTGACGATACTTACTTGTTAGCCAACCTAAATAAAATAATTCCAGCCATATATAATCTCCATGACTTTTATCCACAATTAAGCCGGACAATATTGTTACAACAGCTAAACCTAAATTCTGTACAGATTGGCAACTAAAATAAAAAGAGAATAATCAATAAGCACGCACTGAAACAATATTCTACACTTACAATCCATAGGCAGTGCCTAGTTGATATTCCGGTATAATTAAAGCTACTAAAGGCCATAAGCTAGCCGCTAGCATCGAATAAGATAGCCCCATAAGGGTCATGCCCACGTAGGGATTCAGCATTGTAAAGGCCAATAGCGAGTGAGCGCCCATAGTTGCAGAGGTGGCTACAAATATCCAGCCTACATTGCGGCCAGTCTTATCAATAATAAAACCAAATAAAGGAGATGCAATCGCAGATATTAGATATAGAATGGAGTTAACACTATTGGCTTCCTCAGGCGACAAATGGAATTTTTCCATAAAAAATCCTCTGAAGGGGCAATAATAAGTAAAACTCAATCATTGCAGAACGCACACGCCAACTTACTTGCCCAATGCAATAAAAGGAAAAACGCATACATAGTAGGCCACACAAATTACAGATACCATCCAGAAGGTTATTTTAAATGTGGTGATATCACTTAGCTTAGCTATTTCGCCGCCGGGATTAAGATTGCGATGCAATACGCGTTCAGCTCGTTTATCCATCCATCCTTAGAGGTTATTTATGTTAATGACATATAAAATTTTACACACAGTTTTACACACTTACCTAATATTAAAGCACATAACAGCGACAAAACACATGTGCCTGCTGCTAAAAGCAACACAACCCCGATCGTATTATGCGGATAATAAGTTTTTACATAATTATACATGGGCTGCATAACCCAGAAATTTACGGTGCTACCCAAACGTGCTACCGACAATTGCAGACCGAATACCATATTAAGTTCTTTACCTTTGAACCATAGCACGGCATAATTGTTTTGTGCCACAGCTAGAGACTCCGCTCCGATACCAAATATAAAACGACCTACGATCATAAGCCAAAAGGTCTTCAGAATTCCACCGCTGGCAAAGAGTAATTGTCCGACGAGTAAAATAAATAAATAGATGATAGTCCCTAAACGTATGCCAAAGACGCGATCAATTAGGAAACCGCCCAAGAAGCATAGCACAACATTAGGCCAGGAATATATTGAATAAATTAATGTGAACTGCGTCGTAGTGATGTTTAATTCTTTTTTAAAAACGTCTTGCAAAGCGCCGGGATTATCGTAGCAGAAATATGAACCTATAAATAAGATAGAGGTGAAAATGTTAGCGAATATGAAAAATACTTTTCCATGAAATCGTTTCAATTACTAGAAAGGCATATGTCTCAGCTTCTTTGCATGGCTTGAACGGCACTAATAGTTTTTAGTCCAAAGATATTACTTTTTTTGTAATGACTTTTTCCTTTTTAATTTTTTTTTTTATATCTACCACACCGAAGGATGGGGGTATACTCAGTTTATCTTAATGTTCATTATTTATTTATTTTTATTTATTTATTTATTCCACTTATACAAGAAACTCAACTAAAACAAAATGGCAGTCGAGTTCAATTGACTCTTAAGTAAATCTTAAAATTAATTAATAATAAAACTTAGTATAAGTATAATAAAACAAATAAGGAGGAAAAAAAGAAAAAAAAAAAAAAAAGCATGTACACAATTAGCATAGAGCCACACCTACAACCGATACAAGACCAAATTGCAAGTGAACCCCTAAGCCATCGCAAACATGCATTATATCCAAAAGAAAAGCAGAGACTTTATAAAGTCCATATCCTCTTGATCGGAGTGAAATTCTGAATCGATTAAGCTGTGAGCCTGTGTGTCTGTGAGATGTGCTTTTGACGCTTCCCTTGGAGGCTAAAACGATCTGTTAGAGTGTAAGACCGCGGCGAAGCGTAAAGTAAAAGCAACTACCTTTGATGGCTTTCTGAAAACCAAACTCATCGCACTAAACGACAAGTGCTTCCTAATACGGGTATATCCTCATTCATGAAGTAAGGAATGAATGCTAATCTACAATATATTTTTATCGTAGCTTAACTATATACATATATATATTTATATATATACGATAAAGAGCAGAAAATTTCTCTTTTTCACACCAACATGGAACTAAATATTTAACAAACAACAATCTTGAATCAAAAGTCGTCATCATCCTATGCTACAACGCATACATTTTTAATAGCTCGACAAAAGTCGGGTTGGATGGAAAAAATGGTTTGAAAAATCTATCACATCGTCCAAATCCTGCTTTCGGCTACCATTTGCCTTGCTTTCTGCAAAACTGGGTTAATGGAGCAAAAGCAGCCTGTGAAAATTCAGATGTGCTTTCTCGAATCCCGAAATTTTGCACTGATGCATTCGAAAAGTGGCATAACGTCGCCGACCGAAACGCCACATAACTAAAATTTAAGAAAAATATGCCTGAATTTTAAAGGATAAACGGCCCAAAGTGTTTCTTCTTTTTAATTGAGTAATCATCTTTACCTGGTTGTTCGCAATCTATGAAAATAAGATAGTTGCATTTTCGATTGCATTTTCGGTTCACTTTATCCACTTTGTACACAGATACGGCTATGCATTAATATATACCCATACACATGCATAGAGCATTTTCACACTTTTTTACGTTTTAGATGAACGAATCCGACTATAAAATCAAATATTTTATTATCCTTAATCTATGAAATCATAACAAATGCTTCTACGAATGAAATCTATGCAACACAATCTTCCATGGAAAAATTGTAAAGAAGAAGTACCAAGTACATAAATTGTATTTTATGATGTTGATGGCCAAAAACCTAAGCTTTCTTACGCACGTTCCTTTTCTCATGATTACCTAATTAGTAATGATAGCTTTTAAGATGATTCATCAAATCTGAACGCAATAATAAGGGCATGACACTTTTAGAAACACTAAAAATGATAACGAACTCACACAGAATTCTTATTCGTTTTCCTTGCTAACGCTACTAAAAATAAGACATATACTGTACAATAAACAATGTATGACGAAAGTTTAACTTTATTTCTATTTGCAGGTCTTTACTCTTTATCGAAATATTAATAAAAACCTTTACTGTGCAGTAAAAATTTGTTAACACACAACTCATTACATATTTACGTGGCTTGCAGGCTTCCAACTTAGCTTTTATCAATTTTTAAATAATCTCATTGTCCTTATCAATGCCATTTGCCAGATTATTGGAAGGAATGTTCCATGAAACGTCCTTTCTCATCATCATTTTTATACAGGGTCACCCAAGAAAATTTTATGAATTAAAAGTCTAGCAGAATATTATAGTTTAAAAAGCAGAATATCCAACTTTCATATTCTGCAACAACTGACAACTTTAAACAATGTTGTATTCTGATTTTGAAATTGATGTCTTTCACACAGAATTAGTAACTATTAGAGAATGTGTACGAATTTATCGCATTGAATAAACATGAAGGGAAGAGGAGGGAGGGATGCTTGGACAACTAGGATTTAAGTGTTTCTTTGTTTGCTTTTGAACTTTAATTTATCTAATGCTTTTATAATTATAAATAATTTATAATTAGTTGCAATATGATGTAATGTACGTAATTTACTCTGATTGAATAGTTAATAATAATAATAATAATAATAGCAAATTTAGGCACGCATTGTTGACACAGTGTCAACAACAACAAAAAAAAAAAAAAAGAAGAAAACGAAAACAATTACAAGATTAATTTGGCGGTAAATAACAATGACATCTCTTATCATTACTGCTCTGTTTTAATAATTAGTTTCGCTTTTTTACTTACCGAAACCCAGCAGGCACATAAAAATCAACGCCAAAAAACGATGAAGACTGCTTGTTGGATTACAGCAGGCTGAGGTGCACCCGACAGGTTCAAAGTCCAACTCATTATCTTGAGGACCTCGTCGATTAGGTGTCTCAACATTTTGTTCGTTCTCTATTATAGGTAAACGATCATCGACCATTTTTAATATTTTGTTGTTGGATACCTGTAGGCGTAATATGCAAATAACGGAAATCGTTTTCAAGACTATTAACTTTACAATATTTCTCTCCACATTTATTATTAGCTTTATATAAATGCTATTGTTCGTGTGTTTGAGGTCGTTGCGTTCTATAATAAAAACGCATTCGTAGAAAACAACATCAATTTCTACGCTGATAGCGTTGAACGAGATTTCGTGCTTTGTGATATAAAAACAACACAACAAAAATATCAATCAGACGTTAAATGTGGACCGTATTTGCTGAGATCCGTTTTGCTTGTTACTCATTCGATTTGTCTAACTAGGATGACTTTGTTGATGCCGTCTTATCTTGGTGCGTATGACCAGGAAATTTCAAGTCTGCTTGACCATCTAAAGTAATTATTGCTTTTGTGGGATAGAAGGTTTTTCTCTAATTGTTGTTTTCTGCGTGCAAAGTACGACAAAGTTGCCTGGAAATGAAAACACCAACAACTTGAAATATTATCATGTTATGTACGTTTTCTATGATAGCTGATAGAAATTTGGGACGAACAACCATTTACAACTTTTTATAATAAAAGATTTCTATTGGTGACTCATTCAAAAGTCTGTACGGAATCTTATGTGCATAACATATTGGCTTCTTCAAGAAGAAAAAAGTTATAAACGTTCCGAAAACAAATACGAAAGTATATGTGTATATATATATAAGGATTTAAGATCGCATAGAGATTTTAAATGAATGCTCTCTTAACTTTTTTTTTTAAATCCTAGATTTTCCGATATCTGAGACTCGACCTTTTTTTTGTAAATATTGGCAAATACTGTAATTACTAGCCGGCCAATTTTGTATGAAGAAATAAATATTTTGTACACGCACTACACGAATACATATATTCCATACATATATGGATGAGATTATGAATAGATGAAATGGTATAATTGAAAGATCAGCATGAGTATTTAAGTGATGCATTTGTAGTATTTATCGTTTCTCAGAAACCGTCCGTCGTTCTTATCTTCAATTCTATACCCCTCTTTGTAATTTAATGTAAAATATCTACATAGTTTGTACACGACCTCAGGTAGCTTTATAAAACTTTACAGCGGGATAGCTCTTTTAAAGTGAAACGAACCTTTCGGTAATCTGAGGTTCGGGTGAATTAGTATTTGAAGAAATCATTATTTTCGGTTCTGCACTCTTTCACCTTACAACTATGCTATATAAGTTGAAGACGTACCCAACCAATATCGTATACTCCCAATTATCACTTAATCCACATTTATTCTTTGAAACTTTTAAAACTCGAGTTAATAGTTTTTTAATGATATATAACGGTAATTTTTGCCATATATTCACGAAAAAAAAACCTTTTAAACCATGACAACGCGTGTGGCAATTCAAAAATATCCGCGATCTTTTTCTCAAGTCCTACCTCACATATAGCAGCTTTAAATAAAATAAAATATCGATTGCATACGTATTGCTGCACTCACTAAACATTTAAGAAATCAACAAGTTTTTATCACTCTACCTACATACGATAAGGGCTATGGCCAAGACCACAAGTCAAAAGAAGTCACAATGCCACTTTCGACGTACATAAACGTATTAGTTTTACAAGAGACACTGTAATCACTGTAATATACGGAATAATAATTTGCGTTTTCTTATTTAAATCAAAGCACAAAGAAAATAGAATGCAAACATTGTACACAAAGCATACGATGCAAATAAAGAAAAATATTCGTCAATTATTTATGGTAAAAATTCATTCTCTTTTGTTTTCAAAAAAAATTTTTATACTTACGAATGTTATTTTAGAGTTGTTACATATATGTATAAAACCTATCTTCTCAATTAAACACAACTATTTACAATTTTCAAAACAATACGATTCTATGGAATGTTTTCTCTTTTTATTATTTGTTTTTTTACTTCTTTTGTTTTTGTTTTTTCTTGCGTGTTGCCAGAAGAAAAAAAATGACAAATGCATCTCTCCATTTTTTTTATAAAACCTTAATAGATACATGAAATATAACAAACAAGTTATTTGAAAAAAAGTACTGTAAGAACGAGACGGAAAATTATCATTTTTTTTTTAATGTAAATTATTTTACAATTATACCTTTTAATTAAAAAAGAAATGGGATACAATAATCAATTTTACCATGCTGTCTATATTAAAATGTTAAGAGTGCATTTTTTAAATCTATGTTATCGGCTCTAATTTAAATAAATGGATATTAGATAATAAGCTTAGTAGTATTAATAAAGTAAAATATTGAATTGATATTCTGTTCTGAAGCTGATTGTAGAATGTTCCAAAATTTAATTAATATATTTAATGTAATTTAACTGCCGCATTTCAAACTAACAAGGAGGCATTAAAAAGTGCTCAAAATTAAAACTGAGGGAGGAATTTTTTAAGTCATGATCAATTCAGTGATGAAGCTTAAGTCCGAAGTAATTTTATATTTTCCTCCTTAAGCATTCTGTATCTACGTTTGTTACCTCCTTTATTTGTATTATTAAAAATTTAAACTTTTATGCGGTATTACCAGATGAAAATATCAGTTTTTGTTAGTAGAAATATCTTCGATGGGGTCTACTGCACAGTAATTTTTCATGATCGGGAATGTTTGAATTTGCATTTATTGAAATCAAATCTGTCTTAGACTTAAGTTCACTCTGCTAATAGTTTAAACCTAAAAATATCCCAAGCAAAAAAGGAAAAAATGAAAGAAAACTTGAAAAGAAAGAAAAACTATAACGACGACTTGAAAATCTAAAATTTTATTTCAGATTTTGTCTTCTTGCTCCATTTTTTTTCTCATACCAGTTTGACCCAATTTCTTTAAGCAATTCACTAAAAAAGCTGAGGAAGTCTTTAGGCGAAAAAGAGCATACCTCCGCCTGCGCATAACACTACTTGACTTTGTATAAGAATAATTAGTACTGAATCAATCAAATCCATTGGAATATTGGAACTGCAGTGGAGGGGTCATAATGCACAAACACAATAGAGTGCGTAAAACCGAAGGACTCATTAGGATCCTAACTAGGACTAGAATCCTAGGACTATTAAGATCCTTTTGCCGACGGCTTTGCAAATTAGCATAGAGTATTACGTTCGTTCTGCAAATAGCAGAAAATTTAGCTACTGTTTTGTTTAATGTGATAATAAAAAAAAAAATTATGGCGGTCAAATTTTAGGCTAACTTGTAAAATTATTATTATTATTAATTTGGAATTTTACTTCATATTGTAAAAAAATGTAAATTTTTTATATAAATAAATTGAAATTGAAAAAAATTTAATAAGTCGTTGTTTCATTTTTATTGAGGTAACTTAAGTTGTAATGCAAAAAGTTTTTTAGAAAGATTTTAACCGAAATTTTCTAGCATCTAGAAATCTAGAAAGCTTTGGTAAACGTCTTTTTCAATATAGTTAGTTATATATTTTTGCAGAACAAATAAAATCCTTAACCAAAGAAATGAAAAATTTTATGAAGAGATTTTAATGCCAGCAACGCGTCCATTACCACCCGAATTGAGTCATCAATTATGGGCGTAGCTCATTTGATTTGATTTATTATAAATGCCGACGGCAATTTTCATTTTGCAATGAACTGCCGACGGCAATTATTATTTTTCATTTTGCAATGAATATGTTTAAAACAGATTTTTTCACATATAAAGCTGCATTTAACAGATTTTTTCACTTATAAAGCTGCCTTAACAGATCTTTTCACTTATAAAGTTGGCGGCTTTGCAAATTAAACGATCTGGCAATTCAAGTTGCTAGTTGGGCATTCAACCTTTTTGTGAATACTATGCGCTTTGTCAAAAAAAAACGAAAAGCATAGAATACGTATTCTAAAGGTTTTATTACAATACATCATTGTACCATAAGTCTTTATTAATTTCAATTAAGGAGTTGTTAGCGAAGGAAATAGAGAGTAACAAAATTCGAAGTTCGCTCATTTATTTACTCTCTAAAGAATGATGTGGCCTGCATTTGAACAGAATTGAATCTGTGTTTAACAGAATTGAATCTTTGTTTCCTGTTAAATTGGGCATTTAACATAGCTGATTGGCGTTACCGTTTAAGTTGTTAAGTTGGGCTTTTAACCATTTATTTATTATAAGCGACTCTGTGCTTTGCCTTTCAACAGGGAATTTAGCGAGGGCGTTGTTTAATTTGATAATAAAAATCCTTGTTCTTGCTCACACAATTTTTACAATTCTTGTTCTTGCTCATATAATTTAAAATTCCTGTTATTGCGAATAAACAACCAATTTATAAATATTCCTATATAATGTTATAATTATCTTAGAATGAGGTAACATTTTTACCTAATGGCTCCCTCCAGCTTTTCCCTGTTAAGAGTACGAACAATATATATTCCAGTAAGTTGCTTCTGTGGCTTTCCTTGTTCTTCCCTGAAGAAGGCAAACCGTGCCATCACAGTTGCAACTGTTTTTGGTTTCAATACAACTTCGTGCGTTTATTTCTCTTGCTTCGTTTTTCGTTTTCTGGAAACGATATGAGCGCAAATGGACAAACAAAACTGTATTCATCGTTTGATCATATCAAATAATCGGGGTACTTGACATATAACCGAGAAATTAACGTGTTTACTCATTCCTATTTAGGCTTTTGACAAGATTAAGGGTATATAATCTCAATGATAAGAATTCCATACAACTGAGAAAATAAAAATTCCGTACAACTGAGAATGTTTGAATACGTTTGTTTACAATTCTCAATAATTTTGCATGTATTGTGCGACTTTAAGGAATAAGCGCATATTCGTTCTCAATAATTCTCAACAGGTCTTTGTAGAAAAGCCATCGATGCGAGATTAAACGTATATATTCTCAATAATTTGTATAGAAATTCCAAACAACTGCGAAAATGTGTTAATAAATCATAAAAAGCGACCAAGTCAAGTTGTTTATATTTGGCCAGAAAGTTTTTTGCGCACAACGCTTGTAGGATTATTCTCTGATTAAATAAATTTTCCTTATCTTATACAAAAAGCAAATTAAACGAAAATTTGAAAATGTAACAAATATCAATTTATTTATTTACTTATTTCTTTTAATGATAACATAAATTACAAACTAGAAGTTATTTGATTCGTAAATGTACACACACACGCTCACATTCTTCTTTACGTAAATAAATTTGTGATATTTGCTAAATTTGGAGTTTACAGTAAGTATTAATTTAAGTAGTAATTTAATTATCTTGAGTATTAACTGTTCCTTCGGCTAGCTTTGATGGATCAGACAATGTTGCCGACAAATCACAATCGAGGTAGGCGTCATTATCGGCGCAGTACTTGTAACGTTTCGAGAATTCAACCTATGCACGGATGTTGTTGTTTAATTTTTACCATTTTTTCGCATGTTTTCCGGCCTGGGTCGTCGGATGGGGGGTGTCCAAATATAAGGTATTCAGATACGTGATAGGTTCTTGCCTCGCTACAATATTCCATTATTTTAAATAAAACATGCTTACCATGAAATTTTGAAAACTTTTGACTAATTTAATCCATGCCCTGACCACCTTGTTTCTACCTCCCCTCTCCGCCCTCCACAGGAAGTCTTACCAGTGTTTTACCTTTTAATAAGAACACATTTCTTTTCTGTACTTTTCAACGGAGGTGTTATAATGTTTTAATTCCATATTTCAAAACCAAAATTTTCCAAAAAGAGAACAATGGGTAGTAATCAATCTTATCAAAAACTTATAACGATTTACTTCAATATTTCGAAACCAAAATGTTCAAAAGGAACAATGGTTATTAATCAATTTTATCAAAATCTTGCAATGATTTAATTCAATATTGCAAAGCCAAAATGTTCACAGTGAACAATGGTTATTAAACAATCTTATCAAAACTTATAACGATTCAGTTCAATATTTCCAATACAAAATTTTCGCTTTGGACAAGGGTTAATAATCAATTTTATAAAATAACTTACCAAAACTACCAACCACATCGATGCGCATCGCCATAGCTGAAAGGTATATTAACAACTTATAAGTTCTAAAATTATCGCAAAAAAAAGAATGATTAATATTATGGAAATAATACTCAAACGAAATGTCAATGATTGCTTCCCTCATAGAGATGCCACGCACCAACCGGTGCGAGGAGGAGTGCTCCTTTGACGTTATGTTGGTTCTCTCGCGTTCTTCACTCCTTCTGGTACGTTAGCTGGTCGATTTATCTTCTTTTCTTCCTATTTTTTCTTCTTATTTTTCCTTTTTGCTTCAGGCTTTTCTTTTTTTCTGTTATAAAAAGATTTAGAGAACTCTTTTATCGTTTCCTTGTTCATAAAAAAAAAATAGCTATCTTTCCGTTAATATTCGCGATGGCACAGCAAAATAAGGATTTTTAATTTCTTCCAAAAAAACAATTTATACGCCAAAAAATCTGCGGAACGCCA